GTTGTTGTTGTTAATAATAATAATAATAATGCCTGTTCATTTTTTGAATATGTCTGTCTGCTAAAATAGCTAACTAATCCTTGCTACAGGCACTTGCTCAGGCATATTTTCTGTTTCTTCAAAACACAAAGATCCAAACTGAGTTATATTGCAACTATGATGAGCAGACCTTAGTTATAGTTTCTAAGAGAGAATAAGTAATCTAGCATGAGAAACAGTTTGAACAAAGCTCATATTCTAAAACAATTGACCACTATGACCATATAATATATATATATATATATATATATATATCTCCATCATGGCTTGAAGCAATTGGATGTCTAGCCACACTGAGGAGCTGTGATACAGCGAAACAGTCTGTCTGTGGATGACTCCATATATATATGCTCGTGGAAATCTGTTTGAGCTCTCTGGGGAAAGGGGTTTTTAAAATACAGCAGCTCCTACTGCTATTAGGCATTACTCTTCAAGTATGAATTGAGTTCTCCAAGCAGCTGGCATATTTCATAAAGAGAAAAACGTTAAAATTCCCTTTTTTTCTGCCATGCAATGATGGCCTAGAGATAAGATATCTGACTGATGTGAAATCAGTCGAGTTTTGATTCTGGTTTGAAGCAATTGAACATCTAGTGACACTGAGGAGCTGTGATACAGCGAAACAGTCTGTCTGTGGATGACTATATATATATATATATATATATATATATATATATATATATATATATATATATCAATCATACACAAAACAAGTTTTGCTAAATTCAACTGACAAGGTTTGACTATTTAATTTTTTTTATTGAATTTTTCCAATTTTCAAATGGAATGAACATTATCAATAAACTGTCCAGTGTTCATAATCTTTTTTTGTTTTGTTAAAGTACATTCAGCTGTCTCAGAAATCCCTGTTACAGTTATCTCCTCAGGCACATTTCTTTAGTGCCAACAGAGCCAACATATGATTTGTACAGTAGCCATACTGAGCAGACCTTACTTACATTTTCTAAAAGAGAGCGTACAATCTGGTGTAATCAGTAGTGGAACAAGGCCATTGAACTTGAACCCTTAGTCACGATGACTTATGACACCATGCCAGCACCCACCATCAATAGATTCTGAATAGTTCCATCTACTCAATTTCACTCACATGGCTTGAGTCAAATTATGGTACAGTTTTAAGGTTTCATCTCAACATTGCTGCATGCTGGGATCATCTACCCAGGATGTTATTAACAAGTTCACATCTTTTACAAATCAATTGTAGGGTTCAAATCCAGATTTCATGGTCAGAATTCTAATGTTCTAGCTACTTGCCTATTATGGATTGTGAAACTGCCAAATATACTAATAACGTAACATAGTCATGACATAATATGTCATTAACTATATGGCTTGATATGGTGTTTAGTTACCATGGTCATTGGTCCATAAGTCAGTTCTGTCGATATACTAGGCTCCATGACTCAGGTATATATAAAGGGTGCACTGTCTCTGTCTCTTACTGAAAATCAAATCAACCATTTTTTTCACCAGGAGAAAGGGTTTTTATTTTTTGCAGAATTAAATAATACAATGTATATGGTCTGTTCAATCTACTTTTATTGTCCCTAGAAGGGAAATTTTGCCAACAATTTGTTAGTGACAAAGAAGTCAGTGAGAGAGAGAAAGAAAAAGAGAGAGAGAGACTTGCCAATCCTAGCAGTTGCAGCCCCACATTCCTGGGGACAAAAATTCTCACTGAAGAATTTTGGAGGGAAAACTTTTTTTTTTTACCAGGAAATATTACCTTCTTAATATTTGTGGATTTTGTGAATTCATAGGCCAATGAAAAGGCACCACCATATCCTTCATCATTTCCTGTTTTTTCCAGGGCTTGTGCCCATCAACTGACCCCCTATCCAATATACTGTATTCCAGAAATCTATATTTTCGACAAAGCTGTGTGGATGTTTTTTAGTTAAGAGATTTGAAACAAATTTTTGGATAACAAGAACTTCAAAAAAGGTGATGAAGCATCAAGAAAATTTGGTGTTCTTGGAATTCTGCAAACTCTGTGAGCTTGGTTGTAAAAGAATGGTGAAGGCACCTTTTCTATAAATACTTTCATGGTAATTGTTCTGATAAACTTTTGACTATGGTACCTAGACTTTATGAATTTAAGTGCAGTACTATATTGGCAACAATGTCTAATCAATTTACAGTTGAATTGACTAGATGTATACATAAGTTTTATATTAACAGTTTTTTCTCTCACACTTCTCGTTTGTAGAATTCTCTTCAGGGTTCTTGCTTCCCAGCCAACTTTGATATTCAAAAATTTAAATGCCATGTCAATTGTTGTCTACTGCCTTTTTTGATTATTCTTTTCTTTTTTTTTTTTTTTTTTTAAATTGTACTTAATAATCCTTAATAATATTTCTCTTTTTTTTTCTTTTTTTTTTCGCACTCAGTAACCCCTGGCATCTTAGTGGCTTTACTGTCTTGCTTGAGGTGAAATGATTAATAAAAAAAAGGAGAAAAAAGGTGGTAGTAATAGGAGTGGCAAGTAAAAACAGTAGAAATAGTAGTAGTAATAATAATCATAGTAGCATAATATGAAATAATAATAATAATAATAATAATAATAATATGCACTCAAAATGTTTTCAAAATATGATTATAGCAGGTAAATTTGTAATATTTGAATAATATTTATATATATATATATATATATATATATATATATATATATATATATATATATATATATATAGTGGAATTTTGACCTATGAGTTTAATCCATTCTAAGAGTGGATTTGTAACTGGAAATTTTGTATTTTGAAACAGTTTTACTCATTTAAAATAATAGAAATTAATTCATTTCAGGCCCAAAAATATTGATATAAAAATCAATAAAAATTGTATTTTATATAAAATTAAACTACTTTTTAAAGATTATACACAAATAATGTAAATAAATATATCATTGTGACTCCTTTTTATCAATGACATTTAAACATTGAACATACTGAAGTGATCACCCCCAAATTTTCTTAGGGTCAGGTTTGTATTTTTGGTCACTTCAAAACATCTCTGAAACAAGGTAGCTTTTATCAGAGCTCACAGGCTTTCTATGTAGCACTACACGCTGGTTCTAGTTTTAAATTTTTCAAACCATCCTTGACTTGCCTCAAATGCATTTTCATCTTCAAAAAATGTGCCTAGTATTTTTCTGATAAGATCCACATGCAGTACCCTTGCCTTTGCACATGTAATATCTTTAGACACAGAATCATCTCGTAGCTACTTCTCATTCATCCACACCAACAACAGCATCTCAACATCTTCTAGGGCTTTTGATGCTTGGTAATTATGCTAACTCACTTGGCTAGATCAAGCTTTTTTTTATTTCTATCTTCTCCTTTAGGATAGTGTATAGATTGGCAAGGTCCGAAACACGGGTACCTTCTTCGTGCTTCTGAATGATCTCCTTCTTCATTTGCACGGATATTTTTTCCCTTTTCTCAGTAGCAACCAACTTCTTGGGTCACATCATGGGCTAGAAAAATTATCAAAAACTTACCCACTAAAATTTAAAATTTATTGTACATGTACAGTAATATTTACAGTAACACATTAAACTGTACAGTACAGTAAATGTATGGAAAAATGTAAAGGAGCAAACTGCAGTAATGAAATGTACCGTACAAATCAACCTGAACTGAATGCGTGTTTTATTTTACTGACTAGTTTACATGCTGTACCTGTATTTTGTACATTTTATTTTACTCTAATTAAACTTTTTAAATCTTTTTACATTTTTCTACTGTACTGTATTGATATCAATTTAAAATTCAATGATTATACACTTTATATTAGACTAAAACACACTTTACATTACATAGAGATTAAATGAAACAAACTCAACATTGTCACATTTTATCTACTTTTAATTCAATAAATTTCAACAAAATTTACATGTTACAGTAATGTACATGTGCTGTATTCATTACTCTACATAAATTTTTGCACATCATTAATTTTTTTTTTAACACTTAACCTAAAATAATCACAAATATGCATACACTAAAATGTGTATTCTCCAAGGTAACAAAGAGGACTGAGCAGGATGATGCAATGCTTGTAGCATCACACTACATCTAATGTGATGGAATTGTATAGAAATATGTACTGTATAATAATATAACACAGTAATGTATATAAAATATATTATAATATAATAATGTATACTGTATATAAGACATACAAATATAAGAATAAAAAATACAGTATAAACTATATCAGCAAATATTTAGTAGAGTACAGTACAGTATAATATTATTATATATAAAATATATAATAATATAATATATATAAAACATAAAATACAGTATATCTACATAAGTTTAAAAAGAATTTATGGTACATTTATATCAAATATCTAGTTTGAAATGCAGTGGCAGCGAGCCAATTCTTAATTTCATAAGTTGAAATTAATTCATAAGTAGAAATGAATTTTCTGACAAATTTTTGTTCGTATGGTGAATTTTTTGTAAGTGGTGGTATATATATATATATATATATATATATATATATATATATATATATAGATATATATAGAGAGAGAGAGAGAGAGAG